CCCTGGGAGTCCAGGCCTCCCCCCCAGGTAGCTCCTCCTCTGCCTGGATGCCCTTTCTCTGGGGCTGCCCTAGGTGGTGCCAGCCACTTCCACGCTCCCTCCGCCGCCCTCTGCCCCTCAGGTCGGATGGGGACAGGCTGGGGCCACCAGCCAGCTCCATGGACAGGGACCCTGCCTCTGCTCACCTTCCAGCTTCGGAAAGAAAAGAGAAGCCTGTGTTGATTTGTGTTTGGAAGCTCCTACCCCCTCCTAAACTTCCAGGGGCAGAGAAAGTGATTCAACCTTGGATTGGCTCTAGAAGAAGGGACAGAAAGAGCCCAGAACATCCCCCCAGGTATGACTCCCTCACTTTTGCTGGTGTGTGTTGGTGTGTGTGTGTGTGTGTGTGTGTGTGTGTGTGTGTGTGTGTGTGTGTGTGTGAGAGAGAGAGAGACACAGAGAGAGACAACAGTTTCCCACCGGTCAGATGGGAAGCTGTCCTTGATGGTCTCTCAGGCCCCTTCTGGCTGCCTTTTTCTATGATTCTGCAGACTAAGCTTTACGCAGTCATTCAACAAACATTTCCTGAGAACCCACCCTGTGCCAGGTGTTACCATTGAATGAGCTCTTGTCTTCTGCCTTTGAGGGTCTGCAGTGTAGATGGGAAGACAGTAACAGTAACAATAGATACTCCCCTTGTGGTGGGCCAGACACTGGGCTAAACCTTGTACAAACATTAGCTCATTTAACCTAGCAACAACTATAAGAGTTAAGTGTAGCACTAAACCCACTTAACAGATGAGAACAGTGAGGCTTAGCAAGGTGAGGTCACATAACTGGCAGGTGGTAAAGCTAATATTTCTACTTACTGTGTTATGCTGCAGGCTGCATTGTAAAGAGCCACTCCTAGGCTGTAGGTGCACTTATAAGGACAGGGAGGGGATGGGAGAGCTTTTGAGAGCCCTGGTCACCATGGGCAGGGAAGGGTAAAGTCCCAACTCGAGCAAGGTCCCAGGGTGTGAGGCAGGCTGGAGGGGGCCAGCCTTGGAGCTGGGATGTGAGGCAAGCTTGGAGGAGGGCCCTAGGATCTGCTCAGATTTGAGGTCCGTGGGGGTGAGGATCAGGGGTCTTTCTTCCTCATTCCTGGTAGGGGACAGAACAGGGGGACCCTAGGAACCCCGGCAGGTTCTCTGCAAGGTGTCTGTCCCACACTCACAGGGTGGGGGTTGATCTAGGGAGGCCAGTGTCCCAGCAGCCCGAGAAGTGGGTGGCCCCTAGGCCAGGAGGTGGAGGAAAGGCCCAGATAGCTATGTGTCCTCCCCAGCAAAGACCGGACTGTGATTCTCCCCCTCCTTATAGTTCTTAGCTCCCATCTCCCAGCTGTCCCCAGTCCAGACAGAGGGAAGACAAAAGCTGATTATTCCACTGGGGGCTGTACTGGGCCCCATGAATGGGGTATTGAAAACCCTGTGTTCGCATCCAGATAGGTTTTCATCTTCTCCCCAGCCCGACTGTTTATACGCCAGCTTGAAGGCAAAGCCGGGGAGAGATGGGGGTAGGTGGGCAGGGCGGGGCGTAGTTCTTTCTGGGACGAGCACCCAGGTCCTCGTGCATTTCACTCTCAACTCATCCCAAACAGAACCATCCTGTCCGTCACCTCCTCCCAGGGTCCCCATCCAGATGCTCCTCCCTCCACCCCCACTGCAACAAAAGCCCAGCCCTGCCAGCCCCGCCAGTTCAGTCTCCCACGTACCTTTTTTTTTTTTTTTTGAGTTGGAGTCTCACTCTGTCGCCCAGACTGGAGTGCAGTGGCCGCTCCCGGCCACCGCAGCCTTGACCTGCTGGACTCTGGCGATCCTTCCGCCTCAGCCTTCCGAGTAGCCGGAGTTACAGGCACGCGCTACCACGCCCGCCTGTTTTTTTGATTTATTGTAGAGATGAGGTCTCGCTAAGTTGCCCAGGCGGGTCTTGAACTCGCGGGCTCAGGCAGTCCACTCACCTTGGCCTCCCAAGGCGCGGGATTATAGGCTGAGCCACCCAGCCCGGCATCCCACATATCTTTTGTGTCTGCTCTTACCCTCTGCCCCTCATCGCCTGGAAGCTGGACAACCGCATCAGCCTCTGAACCAGTCTCCTGTCTCTCCCCACCCGACTGGTGCGTTGCCCACAGGCCATGTCAGACTCATGCTAAAAAGTCCGCGAGGAAAGGGGACACACGCTGGCGGGGGCGCATCTAAGATGCTGGTGACGTGGTGACAGTGTTCACTGAGCTCTACGTTCATGATTTATGCACTTTTTTGTTTGCATGCCTCAATCCAAAACCTACCCCCAAAAAATCTTCAAGAGCTTCTCACCCCAAAAAGGCAGAGCACCCCAATGTCAATTACTTACCCAGATCTTTCTTCACCACTTTTTGTGTATTTGTGAGCCATGGCAACTATGATTTCCTTAATATTTTTTTCTCATTTTTTTGAACTCATTTCTTCTGATTTAAGTTCATTTCAAGCTGGGTGTGGTGGTTCATGCCTGTAATCCCAGCACTTTGGGAGGTGGACGTGAGAGGGCTGCCCAGGGATTTGAGGGCAATTTGGTGAGACTTCGTCTCTACAATAAATCAAAAAATTAGCCAGGTATGGTGGTGGGCACCTGCAGTTCTAGCTACTTGGAAGTCTGAGACGGAAAGATCACCTGAGCCCAGCAGGTTGAGGCTGCGATGGTCATGAGCATGCCACTGCACTCCAGCCTGAGTGACAGAGTAAGACTCCAATGGAAAAAAAAAAAAAATTAATTAATTTCAGACTGGGCACAGTGGCTCATGCCTGTAATCCCAGCACTTTGGGAGATCAAGGTGGGAGGATCACTTCTGAGGCCAGGAGTTCAAGACCAACCTTGGCAACAAAAGCGAGATCCTGTTTCTACAAAAATAAAATAAAATAAATTAGCTGGTATTCCTGTAGTCCCAGCTACTAGGGAGGCTGAGGTGGGAGGATCACTTGAGCTAAGGAGTTTGAGGTGATCTGTGATTGTGTTACTGTACTCTAGTCTGGACAACAGAGAGAGACCTTGTCTCTTCAAAAAAAAAAAATTAAGATAAATACAAAAATAAATTAATTAATTTTGAAGGGAAAACTTTATATTGTTCCAATAAATGGAAAACTTTGCCTGAAATAGAAGGCACTGTAAAATAAAATAAAGCAATACACATCTGTGTTTTCTTGTCGTTTTGTTGGTTTGTTTGAGTCAGAGTCTCACTCTGTCACCCAGGCTAGAGTGTAGTGGCATGATTAGGGCCACTGTAACATCAACCTGCTGGGCTCAGGCGATTCTTTCGCCTCAGCCTTCCAAGCAGCTGGGACTACAGGCGCACGCCACCACGCCTGGCTAATTTTTGGATTTCTTGTAGAGATGAGGTCTTGCCAAGTTGCCCAGGCTGGTCTTGAACTTGTGGCCTTAGGCAGTCCTCTCACCTCTGCCTCCCAAAGTGCTGGCATTACAGGCGTGAGCTACCACACCCAGCCTCAATATATGTCTATCTGTATCTCCCCCAATTGGGGGGGTTGTCACCAAGCGGCACCAACAATACTCTGGGATGCACAGCTCCGGAAGATAAACTCTGGACCTCGGGCCTGGTCTGGGCCCAGCCAGCCGTTCCAACCTTAACTTCTCCCACCACTTGCCTTCTTTGCACACCCTTGGCTCCGGCCACGACCTTTCTCGCCTCCCAGCTGCCGTTCCTGCTGTGGCTTCCACTCAGAAAGCCAAACCCGCTGGGCTCGGTGGCTCAGCCTGTCATCCCGCGCCTTTGGGAGGCTGAGGTGAGTGGACTGCCTGAGCCCCAGGTTCGAGACCCGCCTGGGCAGCGAGACCTCATCTCTACAATAAATCAACAAATCAGCCGGGCCTGGTAGCGCATGCCTGTAGTTCCGGCTACTCGGAAGGCTGAGGCGGAAGGGTCGCCGGAGCCCAGCAGGTCGAGGCTGCGGTGGCTGGGAGCGGCCCTGCATCCCAGTCTGGGTGACCGAGTGAGACTCCAACTCAAAAAAAAAAAAAAGAAAGCAAGCCAAACCCACACGAGAACGGCATTTCCCCCTGGAGCCGGCCCCTCGGGGAAGTAAGCACTCGGGACCTTTAATTCCAGATGTTCCAGCTGTGACTTCTCCCCGGCCCCTTGATGGGAACGCCTGAAAGGCCCTCCACTGGCTGGATGCACAAGGAAGCAGAGATGTGGATCGGTCCCCAGCTGGATGAGAAGGGCAGGGGGTGGAGGCTGGGAGGTGGGAGCACTGCCCCTGTACCCCTCCCCCCAGCCCTGTCCTTCCTCCTCCTCCTGCCATTGGGTGAGTGCTCCCGGGCCAACTTCTGCTAACCTCCTTTTTCTGGCTCTCAGTTGTCTCAGCTGTGAAATTACGGTGGGAGGAGGGTTGTGAATGAGCTGGTTTCTAACATTGTGCCCAGCTCTAACGTTGGCCCAGGGTTGATGAAAGCTGAGGGGCTGAGTTTGGGGAGTTGAGAGCTCAGGACTGGAGATGAGAGGTAAATGTACCCCGGGAGTGGGCAGTTAGGGGACACTGAGCGCCAAGGAAGAGGGGAAGGGAGCGGGTCCACCAATAGCTCTTGGAAAGGCAGCTGGGAATACAGATGCAGTCAAATGAGCCAGGGACTACTCTAACTTAAGAAAGAAAAACCGGAGTCTCCGTTTTTTTTCATCTGTAAAATGGTACTTTAGTACAAGCCTCAGAGGGTGATTGTAAGGATTCTAAGAGGTAATGTATGTGAAGGTGTCTGAGAACTGTAATAATATCCTGAGCACAAGTAAGGGGCTATTTTCAGGCTTTCTTTTCTTCTTCTTCTTTTTTTAAAAACTTTTTTTGTGAATCAGGGTCTCACTCTGTTGCCCAGGCTGGAGTACGGTGGCAGGATCACGGCTCACTGCAGCCTCAAACTCCTGGGATCAAGCGATTCTCTTGCCTCAGCCTCCAGAGTAGATGGGATTACTGGTGTGCACCACCATGCCTGGCTAACTTTTTAAATTTTTTGTAGAGATGAGGTCTTGCTATGCTGTCTAGGCTGGACCACAAACTCCTGGGCTCAAGTGATCCTGCCACCTCAGCCTCCCAAAATGCTAGGATTACTGGTGTGAGCCACCATGTCTGGCCCAGGTTTTCAATTTTACCTGCTAGACTGCCTTCCCTCTCTCTCTCTCTCTCTCTCTCTCTCACTTCCCCTCTCAAGCCTTGTGCTCAGAATTGTGTGGTGGAGAAGAATATGGCTGAGCAGGTCATCTCTCAGCTCTATCCTTTTTTTTTTTTGAGTTGGAGTCTCACTGTCGCCCAGACCGGAGTGCAGTGGCCGCTCCCGGCCACCGCAGCCTCGACCCGCTGGGCTCCGGCGATCCTTCCGCCTCAGCCTTCCGAGTAGCCGGAATTACAGGCGCGCACTACCACGCCCGGCTGATTTTTTGATTTATTGTAGAGATGAGGTCTCGCCTGCCTAGGTGGGTCTCGAACCCGCGGGCTCGGGCAATCCACTCACCTCAGCCTTCCAAAGGCGCGGGATGACAGGCTGAGCCACCCAGCCCGGCTTCAGCTCTATCCTTTATTTGCTGTGCAGCCTTGAGCAAATCGCCTAATCTCACTAACCTTGAAGTTGCCCGTCTATCAAATCCTTCCTAATTCATAAATTGTCCTAATGATTAAGTGAGTTGTTCTGCAGAAAGCAATGAGCACACATGTGGTAGCTGAGGTAGACGGGCTCATATAGATCAATCTTTGTAGGGGGGGCATGGAGGAAGGAGTCATAAAGAATCCCAAAGCCAATGTCCACGTGTAAGGCAGACCTACTGAACATCTGATGAGTTCCAGGCTCCAAGCAGAGAGCCCTGGGGGATACAGAGGTGAGACAGGCATGACCACATTTCCAGGCAGAAGGACCTGAAAATGGCATGTATGTAGTGCCCAGGGACTCCGAGGAAATACAGAGCACTTCCAGCTGAGGGCTCCAGGGAGGCTGCACAGAGGAAAGGCTTCCCAGCCAAGTTGATTCTTGGAGGCTCAGCAGGGCTATGATGAGTAGGGAAGCTGGAACAGAATGTGTTAGAGACCTGAAGGCAAGACGGATAGGACATTAAGAAGTAAGGAGGAGCTGGTCAGAAGATCGCAGAAGGCTTTGTGAGACATGCAGGTCTGGGTCTCAGGCAGTCCTCCCTGGGGGGGCCTAGGGACCACTGGGGGAAGGGACGGCAGGGAGGCCGATGGGGACAGCCTGGAAAGAATGGATGGGGCTTTGGAAAAGCAGGGGTAGCAAAGTCCAAGAGGAGGAGTGTAATGGTGAGGACCGTCGGGGAAGGGGAGTCGTGTTCCTGGGACCAGGCAGCCCTGGTCCTGGGTGGAGGGGCCAATGCTCTTCCTCACTCTGTTTCAGCCAGCGCCCTACAGCCCTCTCCACTGCCCTTTCCAGGTAGGTGCTCTGCCCCTCCCTTCCTCACCTGCCCCCCCCAGGTGCTCCAGGAGCTCAGACAGAAGACTTCGGGCAGTAACGACTAGCTGGCCCTCCATGACTCTGGCTGCCCCCACCTCAGAGGGACGGCCACAGTCCCCTCACTTTCCAGAAGGGACTGGTCCCAAGGCTCCCACGGCTTCCTGGCACAGTGGGCATCCTGGCGGTTGGGTCCAGGGGTCCCCCTGGTGCCAGCTCAACCCTCTTCACAGAGCTGAGGCTGGTGGGGGGCCCGACCCGCTGCCGGGGGCGCCTGGAGGTCCTGCATGGCGGCTCCTGGGGCAGCGTCTGCGACGACGACTGGGACGTGGTGGATGCCAACGTGGTGTGTCGTCAGCTGGGCTGTGGCCTGGCGCTGCCTGTGCCGCGGCCCCTCGCCTTTGGCCAGGGCCGAGGCCCCATCCTGCTGGACAACGTGGAGTGCCGCGGGCAGGAAGCCGCGCTGAGCGAGTGTGGCAGCCGGGGCTGGGGTGTCCACAATTGCTTTCACTACGAGGACGTGGCTGTCCTGTGTGATGGTGAGCCTCTGCGACCCAGGAAGGCGGCAGACTGTGGCAGGCAGCAAGGCTGTAGGCTAGATTAATGAAGGGACGTCCCCGGGGGTAAGGGTGTTCCATGCGGGAGATGGAACCACAGTCTACACTGCCTGGTGCTCAGGAAGAGCCCTGGCCTGCGTCCTAGGGCTTCTTCTGGTTCATGGTCAAGAGAAAAGCAGCCTTGCTGCTTTCATACAGAACCCTGATTGTCCCAGCAGAGGTTGCCCCCATTTTAAGAGTCTTTAGAAGCCAGTCACAGTGGTTCACACTTGTAATCCCAGCACTCGCGCTTGTCATCCCAGCCCTCACCTGGGCAACCTGGTGAGACCGCGTCTCTACAATAAATTAAAAAATTACCTGGGCGTGGTAGCTACTTTACTTGGAAGGCTGAGGTAGAGGGATCACCTGAGGCCAGCAGGTCGAGGCTGCGGTGGCTGGGAGTGTGCCACTGCACTCTAGTCTGGGCGACAGAGTGAGACTCCAACTCAGAAAAAAAAAAGAGCTGGGCTCAGTGGCTCAGCCTGTAATCCTGCGCCTTGGGAGGCTGAGGTGAGTGAATTGCCTGAGCCCATGGG